GGGGGGGGGGGGGGGAGCATATGGCGGTGCAGGCGGGACACCGGGCTTGGGGCGGGGCGTGGTGGAATGGCAATAGTGGAATGGGATTTATTTTTTGGGCTCCATTACTGTTATATTTTTGGGCTTGTAATGCTACTTTTTCAATCATAATCATTATATATATATATATATATATATATAGAGTTTGGTTCAACTGAGAATGCAATCTTATGAAAGAAATAAGAATGAATCTGGTGCTTTAGATTGTGAGATCTAAGGGTCAGGATTGCATCAAAATTAGGTGCACCAGAATGATTTGAAGATGCATCATGTCAAAATGCACCAAAATCCTTTGAAAATGCACTATCTCAAAATCTGAGTGCAGGATGCAATCTGAGCCGCAGATGCATCCGATCCAAAGCCTAGCTTTTATTCTTATTTCTTTCACCAAGGTACATTCTCACCTGAACCCCCCTATATAAATATAAATAAATAAATAAATAAATATATATATATATATATATATATATATATATATATATATATATAGTTTGGTTCCGGTAAGAATGAAACCTAACGAAAGAAATAAGAATACATTACCACCGTTGGATGTAGCAATCCTGATCTAGTTACAAAGATATTTACCATGGGCAAATTGGTATTTTTCAATTCTACTTGTTTCTCTCCGTCAAATCTTCCGATCAATTCCGCAATATCAGCGTTAAATCTCCCCTCATTTTTTCTACCTATCCAAATATCTTGCACACGATCCTCTTTCCAACTAAATTGTAGATGGGACAAACTTAATTTATCATTGTTGGAGACTCAATCATCCCTTTAGAGAAGCTCTTGATATTCCTCAATTTCTTGTGTTCAATTTTTCATTCTTTCAGAATATATTTTTATGACTCCGGTATGATCTTAGTTGTTTGCTTTTAGTTTGCGATGCAAAGCACCTATGTGCAAAATCTCATTCCAATCTATGTTTATGTTTTTTTTACTTATTGAGTATTAGATTTATCAATGTTTTTATTCAAATTAGGGTTCATATACAGACATGAAAATGTCAAGTATAGTTCATTGTTGGTTCATTATCTCCACACTCATGTTCATATTCACGTTTTTTAGGATGTTCTGATTCACTTATTATTACTCCGTACTTTATTTTTGTTGAATTGGAATTCCCTGTTGCTCTAACGTTTATGCCCTTTGGGTTTGTAGCAATATAATGCATTCAATAATGTTTTTACAGCTCCCATTATCCACTTTTATTTTTTCCCATTTTTAGCAAATGTTATTTAATCACCTGAAGTCATTATAATGGACTATGTGTATGAATTCATTAAGTAGATGCTAATTAGCCAATAATTCATCAATGGACTATGGCACAAGATTTTTAATCAACTTTTGTGGTTACTGTTTTTTTATTTCTATTTTTTCCTTTTTTGATTGAAATTTAACAATGTGAAGATATCTTCTGGTCAGATCCCAAACATGGGTCATGGACTAAGAGCAACTGTCTCAACAACTAATCTTCATCTTCGTTAGAAATAAGGCTTCATTTTCCATCTCTATTGGATTCTAGATTGCCTTGATGAGATTTTACCAAAAGTGGGATGTATTTCAACATTTTGGACCAATATGTATGGCTTCTTATGTAATTGCTCCATTCAACCAGCAATGAACATGGTTAACATTGGGTTTTTGGAGTTGTAATTCTGATTCAGTTTCAAAGAAGGGATATGTAAACTTTTCAGAGTTATGGAAATTTTTCAGAGCTATAAATCTGATTGATCTTATTGTAATGCATCTTATGGTTATTTTAATGCATTATGTGATTAATGTAATGCATATTGGGTCTAATTAAAGTTCTAAAAAAGTGCCAATTTATATTTTTAGAACTGTAGTTCTAATTTGGTATCCAACTTGAGACAATTTGATTTTTTTAGAATTATGGATATTTTTAAGAGCTATAAATCTGATTTAGCTTATTGTAATGCATCTCATGGTTATTGTATTGCATTATGTGGTTAATGTAATGCATATTTGGTTGAAAGGTTCAGTTTTATCTACAAGAATTATGTATCTAATTCATCTAATTGCATCTTTAAAATTCTAGAGTTTTTTTTTTGGTACGTTGTTTTTCAAATGCATCTTTTTTTAAAATTTTTATAGAAAGATGTGGGCATATATTTTATTTTTTCTTTGCGCAATTTTAATCGTTTTTTTGTTTGTGAACTTGCATGATGTAACTAATTTGCTTGTTTGATGCATTTTGTTTTCCCACGTATCTATTCGTGTGTTCATCTTGTTGATTTTTCCCATTTCTTTTTTTATGGTGTACATTGCTAAATTTATTTACTTTCTTTACTTTTTTGTTTCTTTTTTCTGTTATTGTGCATTATCACATCAAGGTAATGCATTACAATAAGACAATGATGCATTCTCATAATCAAAGTAAAGGATAATGCATTCGATTACTGCATAGACTCAAAATTAAAGTTGATACATCTGATGATGAAATTCCTCAGACACAAATATGATGCATTTGTATATTTTAGATTGTTAATTTTCTACAAACAATGAAGCATTTATAATGTTTTGTGATAAATATGAATATAGGTTACATAGAGACGCTTGAATTATGCATATTATAAAAGGGGGTAATCTTACACCAACTCAATTGGTGTAAGATTGCTACACCAATTCAATTATAGTATCTACGCCGCTCCGATCGTGAAATTAATTGTTCCTATCTCCTCTAATCCCCGGTGAACCCCTAGCCCACCTCATCCTCAACGCACCCCCGCACCTCGACTAATTTCATTGCACCAAATTGTGTTGACTTTCTCGTCAAATGTTTGACCCAAAGTTGATGTAAAAAATTAGTGGGGTTGCTGGCGTGCATTGGGGGCGGGGCAGGTTAAGAGGTTTATCAGAGTTTAGGGGATAAAAACAATCAATTTTACAATCAGAGCACTGTAGATACTCTAATTTAATTGGTATAACTATCTTAAACCTATTGAGGTGGTGTAAGATTACCCCTCCTCTATAATAAAATATTAAAATGCATATTTAAGAGTTCCAAATGCAAGGTGAAAGTCTCTTTGAAAAAATAAAACAGAGACATGCACACCAATTGTTCGAGTCCCTATTGGTTGCGTTTGAATAGAAGAACTCATAGTAAAAAAAAAGATACTCCGTATGTTACACTTGGAAAGGGGCGAAATATGTGGGATACAATTCATCTTTGAAATAATTACGATTTTTTGCAACTTGAAAACCCAATTATGCCCTCTCCTAACTATCAGTCCCTATTTTAATGCAATGTAATTATTACATCCGGTTATCAAACTCCCACGATCATCCATAAAAAATTCCAATCAGAGCCATTGATGCTTCTAATCTAAGAGTCACGAATTATTCTTATTTCTTTCACCAAGCATCATTCTCACTTGAACCAACCCCTATATATATATATATATATATACATATACATATATATATATATATATATATATATATATATATATATATATATATATATATATATATATATATATATATATATATACGGTAAGTCTAAAGTGACACCAGTGCTACTGGTGTCATTTGCTTACACCAGTTCGTTTGGGGTACCTACGGTGCTCCGTTTGTAAAAACGACGGTTCCTACCCCCCAACCCTCCCCCTAAACCCCCCACCCCAGCCCCACCCATGCCCCTCCTCCCATCCCCCTCCCTACCCTGGCAGTACACTGCGTGGCAGAGTACAAGAAAAAAGATCTTTTTACTCAAGCCAATTTTGAGTTTAAATGACCTTTAGAACACCTACTACACTTTATTTGTAAAATTACGAGAGAATGTCCTCGGTGTTGGACCCACTGGGCCACATCTTTTGGACGTTGGCATACATGCCACCAAACTTTTGGA